GGACTGTAGAAGATAAAGGAGCGAACAGAAATGACTTCAAGAGTGTATCAGTCCTGTATTTGTAAGGAAGGCACAGGGTAGGGGTCGGCCAAGGAAAGGTTGGAGGGAGGAGGTAAAGGAGGTTTTGTTGCTAGGGGCTTGGACTTCCACGGCATGCGTGAGCAAGTTTTTGCTAGGAGTTAATGAAGACAAATGGTTTTAATACTGTGACGTGGCTTGTAGGAGTGATGATCAAATATAAGGGAGTCCTGAATGGGAAGTACAGTGCCCTTCCACTCTGAAGGAGTATGGTTAATGTTGCAGTTTAAAAACTTGTAGAGTACGTCACCCTCTGGCAAGACGGATGGAGTGGAATGATGGTGAAAGTTTATCTTTTAGGGCCACCACTGCCACTGGCGGTGGGAAACGGCCAGATTGTTAAAAAAAAACAAAAAAATATATATATAATATATATATAGATAAATATATCTATATAAAGATATATATATAAAAATAAACTATAAATATATATATATATGTCGTGCCGAATATGTAAAACTGGTCAATAGCAAGAAATTATTTAAAATTAAGCCCTTTTCATAAAAATTTTCCTCTTATACGTTTAGATGATATCTTTTTTTTTTCATAATGTTAATGAAAAATGTTTTAAATTTTCAACTCAAAAGAATCTAAGAAAACTTTACCTAACCTTATTAACAAAAGAACAATTTATTTACCCTAACCCAAATAAATATATATTTAGATTTGCATACAATAATTTAATACTACATAAACACAGTGCAATAAATTTTTTTTCGTATAGGTTTCAGAGTGAATTTGGCGAAATAATTGCATACAAGAAATTATTCAACTTGTCCTATAAGGCAAATGAGCGTTGTATTAAGCCAAGATCGCAAATTCTGCCTATTCGGCACGAACATTATATGATATATAAAAATATAATATTTATATATATTTCTATATATATTATAAATATATATATATAAAAGTTTTTTTTTTTTTTTTTTTATTATCACACCGGCGATTCCCATCCAAGGCAGGGTGGCCCGAAAACGAAAAACTTTCACCATCATTCACTCCATCACAGACTTGCCAGAAGGGGTGCTTTACACACAGATTTAAACTGCACATTAACACCCCCCCTTCAGAGTAGCAGTGCACTGTACGTCCCCATCTCCAACTCAAGTCCGCCTGCCGGTTTTCCTGAATCCCTTCATAAGATAATATTTATTATTTTTACTTTGCTCACACTCCAACAGCACGTCCAGTATTAAAAACCCATTTGTCTCCATTCACTCCTATCAAACACTCTCACGCATGCCTGCCTGGAAGTCCCAAGACCCTCCACACAAAACCTCCTTTACCCCCCTCCCTCCAACCCTACTAGGCCGACCCGCTACCCCGCCTTCCTTCCCACTACAGACTGATACACTCTTGAAGTCATTCGTTTCGACTCCATTCTCTCTACATGTCCGGAACCACCTCAACAACCCTTCCATCAGCCCCTCCTGGACAACAGTTTTGGTTATCCCGGCACCTCCTCCTAACTTCCCAAACTACGAATTCCTGCATTATATTCACACCACACATTGCCCTCAGACATGACATCTCCACTGCCTCCACCTTCTCTCTCGCTGCAACATTCATCACCCACGCTTCACAACCTATAAGAGCGTTGGTAAAACTATACTCTCATACATTCCCCCTCTTTGCCTCCAAGGACAAAGTTTCTTTGTCCCTCCACAACTCCTAATTGCACCACTCACTCTTTATCCCTCATCAATTCTATGATTCCCACCTCATCCTTCATAGACCCATCCGCTGACAACGACCGACTCCCAAATAACTTAATACGTCACCTCCTCATACTCTCTCTCCCTCCAATCTGATATTCAATCTTTCCATCACCTAATCTATTTTGATTATCCTCCATAAACCTTACTCTATATCCTGTATTCACCTTTTAATTTTTCTTCTTTTGCACACCCCTACCAAATTCATACACCAATCACTGCAACATCACTCAGAACTCCCGAAGAGCACCGTGTCAGCGGCAAAGAGCACTGTGACAACTCCCACTTTGTGTTTGATTCTTTATCTTTAACTCCACGCCTCTGTGCCAAGACCCTCGCATTTTACTTCTCTTACAACCCCATCAATAAATATATTAAACAACCACGTTGACTCACACCTCCTAGTCTAAGGCCTACTTTTACACTGGGAAAAAATTTCACTCTTTCCTACATAACTCTAACTTGAGCCTCACTATCCGCGAAATAACCTCTTCACTGCTTTCAGTAACCTACCTCCAACACCATACACTTGCAACATCTGCCACATTGCCCCCCTATCCACCCCGGTCATACGCCTTTTCCAAATCCATAAATGCCACAAAGACATTCTTTTTAGCCTTATCTAAATACTGTTCACTTATATGTTTCACTGTAAACACCGTGTCCACACACGCCCTAACCTTTTCCTAAAGCCGCCAGTTCCATCTGCTATCCTATTCCCCGTCTTACTCTTAATTCTTTCAATATCACTCCTACCATAGCACCTTTACCAGTACACTCAACAGACCTTTATCCCCCTTCATTTATGCACTCTCTTTATCCCTTTGGCCTTTATACAAAGAACTATGCAGCTCTCAGCCATCCCTATGTACCTTACCCTCTACCATACATTTATTAAATAATATACACCAACCACCCAAAACTAATATCTCCCCACCTGCTTTTAACATATCCTATCTTTATCCCATCAATCCCCTTCTGCCTTACCCCCTTTCAATTTACCTAATGCCTCACGAACTTCCCCCACACTCACTCTGGCTCCATCCCTCAACACTACAAGATGTAATATCCTCCTTGCCCTATACACGAAATCACAGCTTCCCATATCTTCATCAACATTTAACAATTCCTCAAAATAATCCTTCCATCTTCCCAATACCTCTACCTCTCCATTTAATAACTCTCCTCACCTCTTTTTAACTGACAAATCCATTTGTTCTCTAGGCTTACTTAACTATGTTAATGGTCACACAAAACTTTTTCTTATTTTTCAACAAAATTTGTTGATAACATCACACCCACTCTCTCATTTGCTCTCTTTTATACATTGCTTCACCACTCACTTAACTTCTCTCATATTCACCATATACTCGTCCCTCCTGCATCACTGTCTAACTTTGTAAAAACTACTCATATGCACACTTTTCTCCCTTACTACTCCTCTTTACATCATCATACCACCAATCCTCCCTCTTCCCTCCTGCACACCACTTTCCTGTAACCATCAAACTTCTGCTGAACACTCTAACACTACATATATAAAACCTACCCCATACTCTTCGACCCCATTGCCTAAGCTCTCATTATCCAAACTATCCTCCAAAAGCTGTTTATATCTTACCCTAACCTGCTCCTCTTTTAGTTTATAAACCATCACCTCTCTCTTCCCAGAGCTTCTATTCTCCTTGTATCCCTTCTACTCTTTATACACTCTCAAGTGTGCTTACAATAATGAAAGTGATCTGATATTTCTGTGGCCCCCTACTATAAACATGTACATCCTGAAGTCTACTCAACAGCTTTTACTACCAATACATAATCCCAACAAACTACTGACATTTCCGCCCTACATCAGATCGTGGTATACTTATTTATCCTCTTTTCTTAAAATAAGTATACCTAATAACTAAACCCCTTTCATTACAAAGTTTCAATCAAAGGGCTCCATAATCATTTACACCTGGCACCCCAAACTTACCTAGCCACACCCACTCTAAAAGTTTTTCACCTACTTTAAGCATTCAAGTCCCCTACCACAATTACTCTCTCACTTGGTTCAAAGCTCCTATACATCACTTTATAACATCTCCCAAATCTCTCTCGACATCCTCTGCAAACCTCTCTTCTCCAGGTGCATACACGCCTTAAATATGAACCACTTCGCGCATCCAACCTTTACTTTAATCCACATAATTCTTGAATTTTACACATTCTATTCTCTTTTCTCCTTCCAAAATGATCAATTTAACATTACTGCTACCCCTTCCTTTTGCTCTAAACTCTCTCAGATACTCCAGATTTAATCCCATTTATTTCCCCCCCAAAACCCCTGAAACTTCCCTATCCCCCCATCAGCATTTGTTTCGCTTAGGCCAGGACATCCGAACTGTCTTTTCATTCATAACAACAGCAATCATCTGTTCTTTGTATCCGCCACTACATCCACGCACATTACGCAACCCAGTTTTATAAAGTTTTTCTTCTTCTCTTTTTAGGTAATTGTAAAACAGGAGAATGGGTTACAGCCCATAGCTCCTGCATTTTAGTCGCTCAAACGACACGCATGCTTTACGGAGGAAAGATTCTTTTTCCACTTCCCCATGGACAATAGAAGAAATAAAAAAGAACAGAGCTATTTAGAAAAATGAGAAAAACCCAAGATTAAGTATATATATATATGCATGTGATATCGTTCTGATTGAGTCCAAGCCCCGCACACAAACCTTTACCCCTCCCTCCAACCTTTCCTGGGCCGACCCCTACCCCGCCTTCCTTCCACTACAGACTGATACACTCTTGAAATTCTGTTTCGCTCTATTCTCTCTACATGTCCGAACCACCTCAACAACCCTTCCTCAGCCCTCTGGACAACAGTTTTGATAATCCTGCACCTCCTCCTAACTTCCAAATTACGAATTCTCTGCATTATATTCACACCACACATTGCCCTCAGACATGACATCTCCACTGCCTCCAGCCTTCTCCTCGCTGCAAGATTGGTACTAAGGAGTCGACAATAGTTTCCATTTTAACATTTCTCCTGATGTAAAAAAAATCACCATGGCAATATAAAAATATTTATTAGACATCTTAATACGAATTTTGCAACAAATACTAATAACAATAATTGCAACTATGAATATTATATAAAAATATTTTTTTTTCAAAACAAAGTGCAAAACAATACATTAATTATCGTGCTAATATAAAAGCAATGTATGTCTTGTCTTCATAGAAGTGTGAGTAAGAAGCTCACACAAAAATTATATGGCTCCATATACTGGCCTAGCCACCATATGAAGTCATCGGGCAGACGGTCTCATACTGGGTCTGGACCGAAGTTGCGGTCTGGGTAACGTAAACCGTTGTTGTCTGAGTCGTGTAGGTGGTCAAGGTTGTCGTCTGGATGGTCGTGATGGTAGTGGGGACGACTACCGTCGTGGTCTCGGTCTTGTATTTGGTCTCAGTGTTAGTGAAGGAGTGTGGTCTGGGTTTGAGTTACATAACTTGTAACAGTTTCATGTTGGTAGAGAGTAGTGGTGGTGTGGACGGGGGTGGTGCTGGTCACCTGTTGACATAGAAACGACATCAGTATACGTAATGACAAAATTACCACCTCTAACGACAAAATATCTACCTTTAACTATATTATTATTGGGGACGCGCTAAGCCCGCAGGAATCATGCAGCGCCTGGAAAGTGATCAGGTGCGAAACATGAACGGGAGGAGCAACTCCAATTCCTTGGATTAACAGCCTCTCACTACACTTAATTAAACTGTGCATACTGTATGCGAATTCTAAATCTTGATATATTAGATTAATTATATTATACCATCAGTAATATATTGGTATCAAATTACATTAATGAGTAACGTTTACTTTCTTGAACTAATATTTACTTTAATTCCTAGTCGGACCTTAGCCATTATTATATTTGTTTAAATACAAGAACAGCTATCCATATCCCGCAAAAAATAGTTATTTCGTGTGCAGATTGTTATTTCGGGAGATATTAGACAGCATTTTATGGGAATGGCTAATTCATTTAGTATTGAGCCATGTGGCATGCCTGGTTAATCACAACTAACGTCACCCGTCCCGCAACCATTTCAGATACTACCTTACCAGGGTCGTGTCTTCTGCGCATGGAACTTATGAATTTCCTTTTACGACATAATTCTCCAGTATACTGGACAAGACGAATGACAGTATACATGCGTATGTACCTCTTGCACTGTAATTGCGTATTATATTTAATGTATAATTATCTATTACGCAAAATTATCTTAGGTTAACTTGGGTTCTCTTAGGTTAGGATGAGGTAAATATTCATCTCTCATCCTTCAAGGGGTTGGATTGTGAAAGGAAGGGTTCTTATTCAAGGAAATAAACTTATCTTCCACATCCTTGAATCGAATCTGAATACTTCTCATTCCCAGGGTGACCCGAAGAATGAAGACGATAACATCATCCAAAATCTTGTTAGTGAATATAACATTAAAAACTTTTTGTGTGTAACCTATCAAAATTCATTATTAATCATTTGAACGTAAAAGATCTATGAAAAGTTTAACCCTCACAGGAGGTTCCTTGATGCCAGTGTGGAGCTCTTGATCCAAGAAACTGAATTTTTCCTTCCCTTTATGAATTTAACCTGATTATCCCTCATTTACCAGGCGCTGTATGACCACTAGGGGCTTAGTACTTCAGGAGACATTGCACATACCCAACTATTTCAACCAGTTCAACTGATGTGACATACCGTGACTTCTTGGTACTGTGTAGAGGTCTGGGTGACGGTGACGGGGTTACATGTGGGAGCACCGTAGGGAGGAGGCTTGGGTGGGTACTGGGGCACGGCAGTGGCGGCCACCGCCAACATCAGCAGGATTGCGTACATCATCCTGGGGAAGTAGAAGCCAGGCGTGCTATGGATACCTTGGATGTCATGTACTGGTGAGTAAATTTTAGTAGATACATTACATAAACATGGCTTATGTAATAGATTATATTGCCTTCCCTTTAGTTAGGTAACAACTTATTACCTACCATTCCCAGGTGCTGTATGACCCTATGGGTTTAGCTCTTCCACAGCATTATATATAATAAGGGATTATATATAGTCCATTTGAAAGAAGAAAATTATGCTTTTTAATTTGGAAAATGTTTAATGACACATTGATTGGCGCGGATTTGAAGTGGTATGTTCACCCTTGAAAACCAGGCTTAACCTATGATGTTTGACTTTGAAGCACTGAAAAAAAAATACTGCTAATATTGAAACTCATCAGTTGGTAGCGCCCTCAGTTCACACACTAAGGGTCCATGGTTCGAGTCATGGCACGGGTGAAAACGTTGATCATGTTTTTTACACCTATTGCCCCTGTTCACCTGGCAGTAGGTAGGTACCTGGGAGTTAGTCGACTGCTGTGGGTTGCATCCCAACGGGTGTTAATATACCTTAGACTGGACTGGACTTTAAAATGAGCTGAGGTAGGATAACGGTTCTAAACCTGTAAGCTTAGTTGTGCTAAAAAAATTACTCAAAGATCATTGTGTACCGCTTGAATATTATTAAAATTTCAGGGTAAAATAACAATGTATGTGTTTCCATTTCTCATTTTGAAGCAACTTTAAGTTCAACTATTATTGTTATAATCATGGGGAACTGCAAAGTCCGAAGAGGTCATACAGAGTCTTGGGAATGGGAGACAATGAGGTTCAATCCAGGGAAGATATATTAAATTTCTTAAGACTGAAAGCCCCTCACTGGCACCAGTGCACGGTTATGCACCTCCCATGAGGGCAAGAGTTAAGAGTAGCGTAGCCCTTCAAGGAAGGAAGAGGTGAGAGGGTTGCCTAGATGTTTGTGCAGCGCTCCTCATTCCAGAAATTGAGATTACATTCCGCTTCCTTTAATCAGACCTAAGTACCTCTTGTTCTCCTAGCGTTGTATAGCTCCTACAGGTTTAGCGTTTCCTCAGGAATGCTTAGTGAAAATAAAGTCAACAGGAACTAGAAAGTTAGACCAATCTCGAGCGCGCCACCAAGTGATGTACAATATTCCATCAGATTTTTGTCAGACAGTTGATCTGGTCTTTAAAATACATGATTAATCCTTGACAAATTTTGAAATGGCTTTAAATCTTGATCCCAATAAATATTAGTCATAACTGCATCAATATTCACAGGAAAGCAATTTTTGTTGATGACTAATTCAACAGAGGAGGGGACGATGCTAGTGAAGGGCTCATGATGCAAGGAACTGAAGCTGTCCTCTCGTTCCTGGGATCAAACCCTGATTACTTCTTATTCCGCAGGCAGTGTATGACCCAGAAGGATTTAGCGCTTCCTCGTGAATATAATAATGTTTATTTCCGAAAATATTTATTGAATAGGCCTCAAGTACTTTCAAGTTAATTTCGTTTGTAATTTCAACTATAGATTACTGTTAAGAGCATTCAGCTCACAACCGAAAAAGACCCAGATTTAATTTCCGGGTGCGGCAAGACTTGTGATAAAAGTCCTTACACTTGTTGCCCCTGTTAACCTAGCAGTAAATTGTTACCTAGCCATTATTCGACTTGTTGTGGGTAGCATCCTGGGCCGATAGTTTACCTAATATAGGGCTGGGCTTTGAAATGAGCTAGGGTAGGATAAAAACTCTGAGCCTGTCAGCTGAACTGTGTACAAAAAAGGCGAAGGGAGGGTACAGAAAGGCAATGTGCACTAGCTAGTTAGCTAGGCGAATGAAGCTCCGCACAAATACAGAAAGATGGGAAAACGATTCAGAAAAACTTGCTCACAATACAAGTTGAACAACAGTGACAAGTATCGGGTACTGTAGTATGAGGACACTCAGCCGTCATAATAATATTATTTATAACGTTACTTTGCAATTAATATATATGACGACTTCGCTATGAGACCCATATGGGTTTAGCTCCATTTTTGTGATTACTGTACTGAATTACATATGATGGCAATAATTTTATTGAAGTTATATAGTATTACTGATATTATTAGTATATCTAATAATAAGAAGAGTATTTTTCAAATAAAAATAAGTTACAAACCTGTTGGGAAGGTTTCTATGTGAGTGCTGTAGTTCGTGTCAGGCAGCATATATATATATGCTGGGGCTGTAGACCGGAGGAGCAGCAGACCTACATGCTCCGCCCACACCACGCCCACACACCACGCCCACACCACGCCCATCTTGGAGACTAGCAACTTGTGGAAGCATCTAAAAAAATGTGAAAAATCGAGCATGAGCTAATTATGATAATATTTTTTTATATACATATTTTCCCTTTCTAATGTAAACGCTTTTTTAGTTATTTCCATCCTCTTAATTTATGCTTGAAGTTAATGATGATAAGCACATTCATCCCAACTTAGCAAATTAAAGAGTTTACATTCACAAATTATGCAATATTTGTATACACCTTAATATTACACACTTTCTCTCCCTTTACAATATAGGCAGAATTATTTTTTTATTAAGATTTATTTATATTAATTCAATACTCCAGTATTACTGATAATATATTGATAAGTTTATGTATCCCCTGTACACCACAAGTATTCTTGACTAGTGGTTACCTGGAGGTTATTCCGGGGATCAACGCCCCCGCGGCCCGGTCCATGACCAGGCCTCCCGATGGATCAGGGCCTGATCAACTAGGCTGTTACTGCTGGCCGCACGCAGTCCAACGTACGAGCCACAGCCCGGCTGATCCGGCACTGACTTTAGGTATCTGTCCAGCTCTCTCTTGAAGGCAGCCAGGGGTTTATTGGCAATTCCCCTAATACTTGATGGGAGGCTGTTGAACAGTCTTGGGCCCCGGACACTTATGGTGTTTTCCCTTAGTGTACCAATGGCGCCCCTACTTTTTATTGGGGGCATTTTGCATGCCTGCCCAGTCTTTTACTTTCGTAGGGAGTGATTTCTGTGTGCAGATTTGGGACCATTCCTTCCAAGATTTTCCAAGTGTAGATTATGATATATCTCTCCCTCCTGCGTTCCAACGAGTACAAGTCAAGTGCTTCCAAGCGTTCCCAGTAGTTAAGGTGCTTGACAGAACTTATACGCGCAGTAAAGGATCTCTGTACGCTCGCTAGATCTGCGATTTTACCTGCTTTGAATGGAGATGTTAATGTACAGCAGTATTCCAGCCTAGAGAGAACAAGTGATTTGAAAAGGATCATCATTGGCTTGGCATCTCTCGTTTTGAACGTTCTCATTATCCATTTTCTTTGCACGTGCGATCGTGGCACTGTTGTGATCCTTGAAAGTGACATCCTCAGACATTACTACTCCCAGGTCCCTTACACTATTTTTCCGCTCTATTGTATGGCCAGAGTCTGTAGTATACTCTGTTCTAGTTATTATCTCCTCCAGTTTCCCATAACGGAGTAGTTGGAATTTGTCCTCATTGAACATCATATTGTTTACCGTTGCCCACTGGAAAACTTTGTTTATATCTTCTTGGAGGTTAACCGCGTCCTCAGCAAATGACAGCCTCATGCAGATCCTAGTATCATCCGCAAAGGATGATACGGTGCTGTGATGTGTATCTCTGTCTATGTCTGATATGAGGATAAGGAATAAGATGGGGGCGAGTACTGTGCCTTGTGGAACAGAGCTCTTCACTATGGCAGCCTCCGATTTAACTCTGTTGACCACTACTCTTTGTGTACACATTTCTTGATTATTCTTATTATTATTTATGATTATTTACTATATTCGTAAGTTCTTAATCAGAATAGATCATGCACCATGTTGATAGGCTTTCAATCTAATAAACCAACTAACCAAGCATATATTAATCTTACAATAAGTATTAAAAAAAAAAGTGCAGTATATATAATCCGAGAAATTAAACAATTATCTGTGTACATAACCTGTCATAATAAAATAATTATATGAAAGCTGTCTACTTAAGTAATGTCACAGGTGGCGTTGTGGTTGCGGACACGTCTAATAGATGGCTGTAACGGAGCCAGCTAGTGATTTATGTTCCATCACCAGAGGCGTCGCGTGATGTTACAAGCAACAAAAGCAGCAGGTAGTTGCTCTCACTCCCTCATTTCTCTAGTAACCATTCACTTACGTCACAGTAGTGTGTTTATTTTTTGACTGGTGAGTTTTTGCTACGTGGCGCAAGGTTATGTGCATTTAAATTGTGTATCGTTGTTTACACCGACATATATTTTTCATTGTAAATACACTGACGTGTGTGTGTCTGTATATACGCTGGTGTAAATGCAGTCTTAATGACCCGCGTGTAGGTTATAGAATTTCAGCCCAATAAACCAACCAAGTTTGAAGGACGAGTCCTTGTTGCCAGGTAGACTGATAACAGGTCAGTGTTAAACCACTAACATTATAATGTTGGTTAATATGGAGATAAGGTACTTTTAAGAAATCACGATTTTTATTAAATACAAACGTTACCTATACCCCCGGCACATTGTTATTTTGTTAGTAGAAATACGTTCATTTTGAGACGTGCATAACTAAAGGGCCAATCAGTGTTTAGTGGAAATATAAATGCATTAGCAGTATAATGTGATCCTTTGTTGACGTTTCGCCCACACAGTGGGCTTTATCAAGTCACAAACATCTCTTGATAGCTCCCCCTCAAGGGAGTTCCTTGACGCTGGTGAGGGGCTCTTGATCTAGGGAATTGGATCTGTGCTCCAGTTCCCTGAATACCTTCTATTCCCCCTACTCTATAACCCTACGGGTTTAGGGCTCTCCCATGATTATAATTGATAAAGCCCACTGTGTGGGCGAAACATTGTCAATAAAGGATCACATTATACTGCTTATGTGTTTATATTTCCATTGTGAGTATTTTATACCATTTATTTCCACGGTGTTTAGTATCGACTCTCCTGGCCAGTCACAGCGACAGTAAAAAAAAAAATAGAATCTAATATCAACACAGGTACGCCAATCCCATATCTCCCGCTGGCGGATTATTACATTAGGGCTAGGCTATTGAAGATAGGGCTTCGTCTGCTAAGGTTGTTTCTTATATTCGCACAACATAAACAGTGTCCATTCTAAAACTAACCTTATATTTTGGCATTTTTTAGGAACGAATTCTCGCTAGGCTGACAAAAGGATCTAATCTCCATAATTACCATAATGTTTAATCATATGTACATGTGGTTTTATTTGTTTGTCGAATATCAACATTATCAGAGCCAGAGCATTACAACATTTAAAATTAATACTACAAAATCATGAGTTCATCAGAGATGCAATATGCAGTGTCAAAAATCCATTGTGACCTGCAACAACCTGGGGCGTGATACATGGTGCCATAACGTCATGGTGGCGACCTGGTCTGTACCACACTGGCATAATCAAAGACCACTTTTAAGAACCTGGTTCAAATTTCAAGGTACAAGAGTTGACCAACAAACATCATCAGAACAGTGTTATCTCTAACTACGCTCACGCACACATATATGCATTTGTTGCATCCGCTGAATTTATTAGTGTCAAAGTGGCAATGAAAAATGACGCAGTTTGTCTATATTTTACGCAGTAATGTTTTCCAGTGTCATTCATGTTTTCATATACAATTTAATGTCGGCGAGTCATGTACATTAATGTACCGGTAAATCTCATTTTCCATATTATTAATAAATTAGCTGATGGACTTCAACTAGTCAGTATTAAATGAATGATCCATATGGATTCGCCTTTAACATGAATTTCTCTCTCGTTAAACAATTATCGTGAACTGTACTTCGCGTGATTCTCTTTAATTTTGGGAGGATTAATAAAAGCTAATAACCCAAACGAGTTTGACGCTTCTGTTTAAAGCTTAATAATATTGAAAGCCTTGCCATAAGAATACAAGAATGAAGGAACTCTGCAGTAGGCCTGTTGATCCATGTTAGGCAAGTACAACTCCACACAACACCCACGCACCCTTCAGCTACAAAAAATTCTCTCCTGCGACAGTGCTTATTGTTTTTGTAATGGATAAGCCATGCTTTGCCCAAACGGTTTCTCTCGGGTCCCAATAACTTGAACAATTTATTAATGATTTTAGTACTAATTCAGTGCTCGGATATTTGTTTTAACCCTGGAGGGTTAGCCACCCGAGAAAACTCAGCTGGTGTGTCATCGAGGACTGTCTTTTTTCCATTGGGGGTCCTTCAATCTTGTCCCCCAGGATGCGACCCAAACCAGTCGACTAACACCGAGGTACCTACTTGCTAGATGAACGGGGACAGCAGGTGTCATAATATATCTTTATTTATACAGGTACATGCACATGGTATACAGGCCTAGCTGACATCAGTGATATACTACTATATAGAAAGCCGCTTGTTATACAGAGCATTTTGAGCAAATTAGGTTAGTTTTGTGCCGGGATGCGACCAACACACCAGTCTACTAACACCCAGGTACCCATTATGTACTGATGGGTGAACATAGACAACCGGTGTAGGGAAACACGCCCAATGTTTCAACCCTCACCAGGAATCGAACCCAGACATCACCGTGTAAAACGAGAGCTTTTACCACCAGGCCACGGGCCACCATTAGTAATTTTGAAGATTACTTTCCCATGCGAGGAAAAAGTTATCGTTATTATTATTATTCACTCTGGATAATGACAGCATTTAGGTTGATATTAAGAAACGATGTTTTAGTAAATTGTACTAAGACCAGTATCTCAGTGGCCTTGCATCGTAGTCAGGCGCACACCTTGATGTGTAGTATAATCTCTCCATGACAGCAAGTGTATTTTTCTAGGATACTCTGCCCTTCAGTGCCTATGCATCTTGACTTGTTAAGCGTAATGGACTTTTTTGACTGTGTAGCATTAGCTTAGTTTTACCGAATCGTTTCATTTGTGTATTTCGAGTTACCTGCTGGGACCTCAATTCAGCTTCCCAGTTTTAGCGTATCATATTTTTTTTAATAGCTTTGTACATTTAAGCTTAATATTGTACGTGTGCTTAGGTGAAGGCGTTTTATTTGAGGTAGTTAATTATGCTTGAGATTGGTTAGCGTGCATGCTAGTACGATTTTTTTTACTGCGTAGATCGTAAATAACCTTTCAGTACTAGTGCTCCGTAAGTTTTAATTATTATCTTCTCAGGTAAACAATAAACCATACAAACACAGCGGGACAGAGAGAAGGGGTTGCGAGGCGGAGAGAGTGAAGGGGTGAAGACGAGAAGATTGAGTAACTCGAGTGTACTGAATGCCCAGAGGCTGTCAAGGAAGTGGCGAGATGCTTGGTTGATATACTAAAAATATGTATAATTACCGAGGTGGTTTTCCGGGTGCTAAAATTCTGCTTTTGGCCCCGACACTTACTCTTAACTTAGCAACCAAGATCTTTATCGTGCCTTACCTTGAAGCTGGGAAATGTTTAAGATTTCTCTAGTGTTCGAGGGGAGGGGGGTGCTTTGATGCTTGTGAAGGGTATTCTCCTTTTAGTCTAAATTTTCCAACATATATGGCCGATGACGCAAACCAAATAATAGGCTTAAACTGCGGAATGTATTAGAATCTTATAATTGTTTTTCTTGTTTAATAAATACGATTTATGTACTAAGAATGACTTAATCGTGACAGCAGCAAGTTGCTAATGATGAGTAAATTTATTGCATCCTTGGTTCCCGTCCGCTCTTTGAGGGATCAATGAGATCTACAACTTAAATTTCTATCTACAGTAGTGTGCATATTAATTGGGATAGTGATGAAATGAGACTATTTGGAAAATTAATGTTTTTGAAAAATACAGATTATATATTTAATAAGAGATATGACTATCCCTTGCTTTTATAAGCATTGTTACACTCTTTGGCATAGAATCGACCAATGTTTAACGCATTTTGGCAAGCTCTGTCGTGGTACCAGGTCCTAATAATAGCAACAATTAGCTTCTCCACAGTTGAACAGTCCTGTTTCGGGATCCTGCGTTTGATTATTGCTCAGAGATTCTCAATTAGGTTGAGGTCAATTGAGAACGCTTAGCCCACTTTCTTCGAAGAATCTCGGAATATTTCTGGAAGTGTGGCAGGGAGCAAGATCCTGCAGGAAAATGACTTCCAGAAAAGCATCCACAATGGGAAGCAAATGAGTTGTCAGGATTGCCTTGTATTTTTCATTGTTCATCGTTCCCTCAACAATAACAGCTGTCCAGGGCCTTTAGGAGTAAAACTACCCCAGTATTATGTTGAGTAGCTGCAGTGGGACGTCTTACCTTGAGACGGATTAGGTGAGCGGAGGGATAAACTCTTCCCGTTTAATGAGATTTCTTAACTAATAAGACGATGGTGTTGCGACACGGAACATCTCTGCGTCGTAATTCCCATCTGTAGGTTCTGAGTAGGGGGCAACACTACTTAAAGTAGCGAGTTCAAGAAGTTTCATTCATATTTGCATATTGTAATGATTCATAGCAAAATCTTTAAGCTGCACATGTAAAATGTAATAAATATTATGGTTATATATATATATATATATATTATAATATATATATATATATATATATATATATATATATTATATATATATATATATATATATATTATATATATATTATGTCGTGCCGAATACGTTAAAACTGGACGGTTTTTAGCTTAAACTATCACCTTCAGCACCGTCCTCCTAACACCCTCTTCCTAGCAGCACACAACGGGCAGGTGCGGTTACTTCACACACCTTGTATTCAACCATCTGGTTCTGTCCACCCTTCTCGCGCCACACTAGTTATAATCGTGCAGATTTTAACGTTTCCCGTTATTCTTGCGCATTTCGTTGCCAGACGTATCCCAACCATTTTTTAATTCGATTATTTGTTTTCATTTTTCTTTGTAATAAGTACATGCAGGAAGAGTGCTACCATGCTCCATTTTACAGGCATTTTAACCACCTACAACATGCGCTCACTTAATATTTTTTGTTCCAAGGAATAATAGTTACCCTACTCTTCCATTAATTAAATTATATTTTCTTTTATTCCTTAAGTGCTGTATGACTTTTACCCGTTTAATACTTTCCTTCTCTATATGATAATACGACATGTACTTCTTAAGATTCTAATTTTAGAAAATTAAAAATGAAATACGACAGAGTTAAGAATGATTCAGAAGCGCACAGACAAGTAAAGATTCCTAAAAATGCTCTAATATCTAAATATATACAGAATGTAAGCTGAAGTTAATAAGATTTACCTACCATCTTAATGATCATTGGATAGGAAAAATACAGCAATTCTGCCAGGGGGCAAAAATGTGAACACATCAGCTGTGAGTGTTACTTAGTACAGCCGAGATTACAACAGTAGTTGCATGTGAGAGGAAAGGTAAACCCAGATACTGATGACAAACATGAATGTCATCACATTGTTGGCTTACTGAAACTTGTCCACTCTACAATGAGTGTCTTGCTAATGCCCATTAGAATGGGGAAGGGCTCTTTATTCAAGGAATTGGGGCTACCCTTCCCTTGTAGCAAACCTATGACCTTCACTCCCCCGGATGCTGCATAATCCCATGCAAATTTAGCGCTTCCTCATGAATGTAATAGATAATATAGGTTATACTGTTTTCTTCACTTTGAAGTTCACTTCATTTTCATTTCAAATTCATTGTTCACATTTCACTACTCTTCTTTACACCTACTATTAAAGTCACTTTCGTTTACCTGTCTCACTGTTTTATCAACCATTGTTCCATATAATACGATCTTAAGGTACACTCTTACTCACTGATTTCTGCACTTGCAGTCTTTCATATTCCACATTCTGTGCTTAGCGCTTTGCAGAAGAAAAAAAAATTCCATATTCTACCAAACATATTCATTTTAGCGGGAGATCGAACCACTTACACTGCCACCACCGCCACTGTTGTTTTTATTAGCATTATTGTTATATAGGAATACCTTGATGCTGAGGAAGGCCCTTGATCCAAGGAATAGGAATAATCCACACTTTGGATCAAAGCAAACTGCTTTATTTTAACTTTACCGCTTTAGCATTTCCCATGACTATCATAATGTTGAATATTATTAACTCCATCTTTATTCTTTTTGTTCTTGAAGTTGCCATTTCTAGGAATATAACGGAACTAACATATATTCACCATTAGTAATTATAACTGACACTCGTCTAGTAGTTAACTCGTATGTGAGATCCACCAGTGGACTCGCCACACTGTTGTCTAGGATTCTACGTCAATTATATTCAGCAGGTGAGGTGATCCACGGAGTAACTTCAGGAACGATCCCTGTGGAAGGCAGTGACACTACACCCCCACAGGCAGCCTCGAGGAGCAGCATTTTGTATACAGGTAGGCCTTTCTGCTGTGTTAAACTGAATTCGATATTTTTGTCCAGCCAATTATTAATTAAGGATTGTATTTAAATGTAAAACTTTGATATGCAATATTCCGGAGTTTTGTAAGCTTATTCAATTCAAGTTTATTCTCTATAATGGTTACAATGTGGGGTTTACAGGTTTTGGGTATTTTGTGGTTTACATGTTATAAAATACTAATTACGGAGGGGGCCACTAGGACACCTAGCATGGCTAGGCATTTCGAGCTAGACTTAGATTAATTCTTAACATTAAATCCTTACAGATTATGGTATTAAGGCCAAGTGACTACATCATAATTTGTGAGTTTAGCAATGTGAATGCTTTTGTTTTGGCACAATACAAGGGTCTATAGGGGAGTATCATACGCAAACTTATGACTAGTTAGGATTTATTATTTTAAGTTATAAGATTAGTATTTCTGGGTTTATAGTCAGTGGGTGAGTGAGTGTAATTTTGAACCACCAGGTGGTTATCATGTTAGTTGTCGGGGTGGATCAGGGAGATAAGATGTTTTCTAACTGTAGTTTTGAAAGTGATGAATGTGTCTGCAGTTATAGAGTTTTCAGGTAGGGTGTTCCAGATTTTAGGTCCTTTGAAATGCATTGAATTTTTGTAAAGGTTTAGTCGAACACGGGGAATGTCATAGAGATGTTTGTGTCTGGTGTTATGCCTGTGGATCCTGTCACAACTATCAAGAAAGCATTTTAGGTCAAGGTTAATATTGGAATTAAGGTCCTGTAGATATAGATTGCACAGTAGTAAGTGTGGATATTCTGAACAGGGAGTAAGTTTAGATCTATGAAGAGTGGGGGGGGGGGGGGTGTTGCCAGGGATGGGATTTAGTGATTATTCTTACTGCAGCTTTTTGTTGGGTTATTATTGGCTTTAGGTGTGTTGCTGCAGTTGAACCCCAAGCACAGATAGCATAGGTGAGGTATGGATATATAAGTGAATGGTATAATGTGAGAAGGGCAGTTTGCAGTACGTAGTATCGTATCTTGGAGATGATCCCCACCGTTTTGGATACTTTTTTTATGTGTTGGATATGGGTGCTGAAATTTAGGTTGTTGTCGAGGTATAGGCCAAGGAATTTGCCCTCATTATGTCTGGCAATTAGTGTTGTCGATCTTAATGTTAAGTTGCGCAACACCTGCTCTGCTACCAAACAATATAGTAGGTTTTGTCAGTGTTAAGTGTAAGTTTATTGGCTGTCATCCAAGTCGATATTTTGAGCAGCTCCTCGTTAACAATGGTGTTGAGGGTGGCAAGATTAGGGTGGGAGATGACATAAGTCGTGTCGTCAGCAAAGAGAATGGGTTTCAGGTGTTTGGGGTTTATGTTGGAAGATCTTTTATGAAAAATGAGGAAGAGCGGGGTCCAAGGACCCCTTCCCTCCCGGAAACCCCCATCAATTTTCAAATTAAAATTAAAAGTTTTTTCCCTCTTTAAGGATTACAATGCGATTTTACAAAATTTTGGGGTTATTGTGGGGGTTTACGTTTTGTAAAAAAAAAAATTAACAGAGTGTCCCACTAGAACCCCTGCATGGCTGGGCATTTCGGGCAGTTTTAAAACCTTAATTTAAAATTTTAAAAAAAATTTTAATGGGTATTTGTATTATGGTTTAAGTGACAAAATATATTTTGGTGAGTTTAGCAATTTTAAAATGTTTTGTTTTGGCACATCTATTTTTCGGGTTTTTGGAGTATCACGGGAAAACCTTATCCCCTATTAAAGGGAACCCCATTTTTTTAAAGATTGAGATTGTTTTTCTTTTTCTGCTCATAAAACACGCTAAGATAACGGGGATATTTTGGGCAACTCCTACTTACCACTTTGGTCCCTTTCCCATAGCACGCCACATGCATATATATTTTTTTTTTCATCTAGGTTTTTCCCCTTTTTCTAAATAGCCTTGTTCTTTTTATTTCTTCTATTGCCCCGGGGGGAAGTGGAAAAGAATCTTTCCCCCGAAACCCATGGGTGTTTGAGGGGGCCCAAAAATCCCGGGAGAAAATGGCAGAAACCCCCTTTCCTGTATACAATTACTAAAAAAGAAAGAAAAACTTTATAAAACTTTGTTTTAAATGTGCGGGGAATGTAGTGCGGATGACAAAAAAAACAGATGTTTTGCTGTTGTTAAAATAAAAAGAAGTTGGATTTTCCGGGCCCAAGCGAAACAAAGCTGAAGGGGGGTAGGAGATTTTCCAGGGGGGGGGAAAAAAAAATTTGGGTTTAAATCTGGAGTTTTGAGGGGATTTAGAGAAAGGAAAAGGGGTTAGAAATTTAATGTTAAATGATCAGTTAGGAAAGGGAGAAAAGGGGAATATGAATGTGAAAAATTTCAAAAATTTTATGTGGTTTAAAAAGTAAAGGTTGGATGCGAAAAAAAGGGGGTCAAAATAAGGGGTGTTGCCCCGGGGAAAGAGGGGAAAATTGAGGGAGGGGAAAAGAGATTTTGGGGATGTTAATTTTAATGTATGGGAAAACCTTTAAAAACCCGTGAGAGAGAATTTTTGTGGTAGGGGCCTTGAACAAAAAGGGGAAAAAAAAGGAAAATTTTTTTAGGAGAGGGTTGTGGGTAGGAAAATTTTGGGTGGTGCCAGGTGTAAATGAAAATTTGGGGCCCTTTGATTAAAATTTTGTAAAAGAAAGGGGTTTAGTTATGGGTTTAATACATTTTTTAAAAGAAAAAGGGGTTTAAATAAGAAATCCACAAAATGTTTTAGGGCAAATGCCCAGTAGTTTTTTTGGGATTTTTGTTTTGGTAGAAAAAAGGGGACTGTTGAGTAACTTCGGGATTTTTCCCTTTTTTAGAGGGGCCACAGTTATATCAGATCATTTTTTAGTTGTAGTACACTAGAGTAAAAGGGTTTGAGGGATACAAGGAAATAGAAGCATCAGGGAAGAGAGGGGTTAAAAGTTATTAAACTAAAAGAGGAGGCATTTGGGTAAGAAAAAAACAGCTTTTGGGGGATGGGAGGGGCCCTAATGAGAGCATAGGCAATGGGGTCGAAGATAGGGGGTTTTGGTTTAAAAATGTAGTTTTTTAGGGTTGTTCGGGCAGAATTTTGGTGGTTACAGGAAATGGGGCGGGAGGGGGAAGGAGGCGATTGGTGGAATGATGAGGGAAAGAGAGTAGTAAGGGGGGAAAAAAGTTAGCATATGAGAATTTTTTTACAAAGTAGAATGATGCAAGGGGGGAAGGTTTTTGGGAAAGAAAAAGAGAAAAAGTAAGAATTGGGGGAAGGGAAATGTAAAAAGAAGCAAATGGGGAGGTGGGTGAGATTTTATTCAAAAAATTTTTTGTTGAAATAAGAAAAATTTTTTGGAGTGGTTTAACAAGTTAAGAAAGCCTAGAGAACAAATGGTTTTTGTCATTTTAAAAATGGGGAAGGGATTTTTATTAAATGGAGATTTTAGATTTTTTGGGAAGATGGAAGGAATATTTGGGGAATTTTTAAATTTTGAAAAAAGATGGGGAAAAGCTGTGATTTCGGTAAAGGGCAAGGAGGAATAAATCTTGTAGGATGAGGAAGAGTCATTTTGTGAGTGGGGGGAAATTTTCGTGAGGCAGAAAGGTAAAAAAAAGGGGGGAAAGGGCAGCCGGGTTTTGGGGGATAAAGATAAAAAAGAAAAAAGCAGGTGGGGATATATTTTTGGGAGGGGTTTGGTGCAATTTTTTTAAATAAATGTTGGAAGAGGGAAAGGTCCCTTTAGGGATTGGCGGGAGAGCATGCAATTTTCCTTTGTAAAAAAGGCAAAAGGGATAAAAGAGAGTTGGAAAAAAATTATAGGGGGGAAAAAGTCTGTTGAGTGTCCCGGGTAAAGTGTATGGTAGAGTTAAAAATTGAAAAAAATTTAAGAGTAAGACGGAGTTTGGGAAAGCAGATGAAAAAGGGGGCCCTTTGGGAAAGTGGGGGGTGGTGGACCAGGTGTTTTACAGGGAAACATATAAGGAACAGTATTTAGATAAGGTTTAAAGAGGTCTTTGGGCATTTAGGGTTTTTGGAAAAGGCGTATGACAGGGTGGATGGGGGGGGAAAAGTGGGGGTTTGTTGCAAGTGTAGGGGTGTAGGGGGTGGGGTTACTGAAAGCAGTAAAGTGTTTTTTAACAAAGGATAGTGAGGCTCAAGTTGGTATGTAGGAAAGAGGGGTTTTTTTCCCCCAGTAAAAGTAGGCCTTAGAAAAGGGAAATGTGGGATGCCCCCCGGGGTTGTTTAATTTTTTTTTATAGAGGGGGTTGTAAAGAAGTAAATGCAAAGGGGTTTTGGGCAGAGGCTTGGAAAAAAAGATAAAGAACCCCAAACACAAAGGGGGAAATTTGTCACAGTTTGGCCTTTGCTGAAAAAATTTTGGGTTTTGGGGGTTTCTGAAGAGAAGTTGCAGAGATTGGTGGATGAATTTGGTAGGGTGGGCAAAGAAAAAAAATTAAAGGTGAAAAAACGGGAAAAGAGAAAGGGTTATGGGGAAAAACAAAAAGTTTAGGTGATGAAAGATTGAATATCAGATTGGAGGGAAAGAGAGTATGGAGGAGGTGAAGTTTTCAAAATTTTTGGGGGATTTGGACGTGTCACCCCGGAGGGGTCTATAAAAAGGAGAAGGTAATCATAGAATTGTGAGGAAAAAAGAGTGATTGGTGCATTTTTAGGATTCAGGGAGACAAAAAAACTTTGCCCTTGGAGGAAAAAGGGGGAAATGAAATAAGAATATTTTTCCCAACCCTTTTTTTATGGGTTTTTGAAGCGGGGGTTTAAAGAATTTTTGCAGCGGGGAAAAGGGCTTGGGGGGCCCAGGGGAAGATGTCATGTCTGAGGGCAATGTGTGGGGGAAATAATCCCGAGAATTCTTTGGGTTTTGGGAAGTTGGAAAGGAGGTGGGGGAATTCCCAAAAAACTGTTGCCCCGAGGGCTGGGGAAAGGGGTTGTTGAGGTGTTTGGGACATGTAGGAAAATTGGAGCCGAAAAAAAT